CCGTAAAAACCAATACATACTCGGATCTTCGCGAAGGCTCTATTTACTGGAATCTCTCTCTCGTGATTATGTCGTGATTCTGTTCGTAGTCTCACATAAATGTCGTGATTCTGTTCGCAGTCTCACATAGATGTCGTGATTCTGTTCGCAGTCTCACATAGATGTCGTGATTATGCTCGCAGTCTCACACAGATGTCGTGGTTATGTTCGCAGTCTCACACAGATGTCGTGATTCTGTTCGCAGTCTCACACAGATGTCGTGATTCTGTTCGCAGTCTCACATATATGTCGTGATTCTGTTCGCAGTCTCACATAGATGTCGTGATTCTGTTCGCAGTCTCACATAGATGTCGTGATTCTGTTCGCAGTCTCACATAGATGTCGTGATTCTGTTCGCAGTCTCACATAGGTGTCGTGATTCTGTTCGCAGTCTCACACAGATGTCGTGATTCTGTTCGCAGTCTCACATAGATGTCGTGATTCTGTTCGCAGTCTCACATAGATGTCGTGATTCTGTTCGCAGTCTCACATAGATATCGTGATTATGTTCGCAGTCTCACACAGATGTCGTGATTATGTTCGCAGTCTCACACAGATGTCGTGATTATGTCCGCAGTCTCACACAGATGTCGTGATTATGTTCGCAGTCTCACATAGGTGTCATGATTCTTTTCACAGTCTCACATAGGTGTCGTGATTCTGTTCGCAGTCTCACATAGATGTCGTGATTATGCTCGTAGTCTCACACAGATGTCGTGATTATGTTCGCAGTCTCAGACAGATGTCGTGATTATGTTCGCAGTCTCAGATAGGTGTCGTGATTATGTTCGCAGTCTCACATAGATGTCGTGATTATGTTCGCAGTCTCACACAGATGTCGTGATTCTGTTCGCAGTCTCACATAGATGTCGTGATTCTGTTCGCAGTCTCACATAAATGTCGTGATTCTGTTCGCAGTCTCACATAGATGTCGTGATTCTGTTCGCAGTCTCACATAGATGTCGTGATTCTGTTCGCAGTCTCACATAGGTGTCATGATTCTGTTCGCAGTCTCACACAGATGTCGTGATTCTGTTCGCAGTCTCACATAGATGTCGTGATTCTGTTCGCAGTCTCACATAGATGTCGTGATTCTGTTCGCAGTCTCACATAGATATCGTGATTATGTTCGCAGTCTCACACAGATGTCGTGATTATGTTCGCAGTCTCACACAGATGTCGTGATTATGTCCGCAGTCTCACACAGATGTCGTGATTATGTTCGCAGTCTCACATAGGTGTCATGATTCTTTTCGCAGTCTCACATAGGTGTCGTGATTCTGTTCGCAGTCTCACATAGATGTCGTGATTATGCTCGTAGTCTCACACAGATGTCGTGATTATGTTCGCAGTCTCAGACAGATGTCGTGATTATGTTCGCAGTCTCAGATAGGTGTCGTGATTATGTTCGCAGTCTCACACAGATGTCGTGATTATGTTCGCAGTCTCACACAGATGTCGTGATTATGTCCGCAGTCTCACACAGATGTCGTGATTATGTTCGCAGTCTCACATAGGTGTCATGATTCTTTTCACAGTCTCACATAGGTGTCGTGATTCTGTTCGCAGTCTCACATAGATGTTGTGATTATGCTCGTAGTCTCACACAGATGTCGTGATTATGTTCGCAGTCTCACACAGATGTCGTGATTATGTTCGCAGTCTCAGATAGGTGTCGTGATTATGTTCGCAGTCTCACATAGATGTCGTGATTATGTTCGCAGTCTCACACAGATGTCGTGATTCTGTTCGCAGTCTCACATAGATGTCGTGATTCTGTTCGCAGTCTCACATAGGTGTCGTGATTCTGTTCGCAGTCTCACACAGATGTCGTGATTCTGTTCGCAGTCTCACATAGATGTCGTGATTCTGTTCGCAGTCTCACATAGATATCGTGATTATGTTCGCAGTCTCACACAGATGTCGTGATTATGTTCGCAGTCTCACACAGATGTCGTGATTATGTCCGCAGTCTCACACAGATGTCGTGATTATGTTCGCAGTCTCACATAGGTGTCATGATTCTTTTCGCAGTCTCACATAGGTGTCGTGATTCTGTTCGCAGTCTCACATAGATGTCGTGATTATGCTCGTAGTCTCACACAGATGTCGTGATTATGTTCGCAGTCTCAGACAGATGTCGTGATTATGTTCGCAGTCTCAGATAGGTGTCGTGATTATGTTCGCAGTCTCACATAGATGTCGTGATTATGTTCGCAGTCTCACACAGATGTCGTGATTATGTTCGCAGTCTCACATAGATGTCGTGATTATGTTCGCAGTCTCACACAGATGTCGTGATTCTGTTCGCAGTCTCACATAGGTGTTGTGATTATGTTCGCAGTCTCACATAGATGTCGTAATTATGTTCGCAGTCTCACATAGGTGTCGTGATTATGTTCGCAGTCTCACATAGGTGTCGTGATTATGTTCGCAGTCTCACATAGATGTCGTGATTATGTTCGCAGTCTCACATAGGTGTCGTGATTATGTTCGCAGTCTCACATAGATGTCGTGATTATGTTCGCAGTCTCACACAGATGTCGTCATTATGTTCGCAGTCTCACATAGGTGTTGTGATTATGTTCGCAGTCTCACATAGATGTCGTGATTATGTTCGCAGTCTCACATAGGTGTCATGATTATGTTCGCAGTCATTATCGTTCTCAGCGTCACATAGATGCCATTATCGTTCTCAGCGTCCCATAGATGCCATTATCGTTCTCAGTGTCACATAGATGCCATTATCGTTCCCAGTGTCACATAGATGCCATTATCGTTCCCAGTGTCACAAAGATGTCATTATCGTTCTCAGAGTCACATAAATGCCATTATCGTTCTCGGTGTCACATAAATATCATTATCGTTCTCATTGTTACATAGATATCATTATCGTTCTCAGTGTCACAAAGATGACATTATCGTTCTCGGTGTCACATAGATATCATTATCGTTCTCAGTGTCACAAAGATGTCATTATCGTTCTCGGTGTCACATAGATATCATTATCGTTCTCATTGTTACATAGATATCATTATCGTTCCCAGTGTCACAGGGATATCATTATCGTTCCCAGAGTCACATAGATGCCATTATCGTTCTCCGTGTCACAAAGATGTCATTATCGTTCCCAGTGTCTGAAAGATGTCATTATCGTTCCCACTGTCACATAGATGCCATTATCGTTCTCAATGTCTGAAAGATGTCATTATCGTTCCCACTGTCACATAGATGCCATTATCGTTCTCAGTGTCACCATGATGTCATTATCGTTCTCAGAGTCGCATTGATGTCATTTTCGTTCTCAGTCACATGTTTTATTTATATGATAATCAAGGCTTTGAGAATAAATTTGGCGGGCATAGACACTGTATAGTATAATGCCCACAACCCCAAGCATAGAATAGCTTTATTCACTGGACTTTGTACAGATCGTGTAAATCGGAACTAAATAACAAAATCGTGAAATATGCCAAATTTCGCTCACAGATAGCGGAGAGCAAAGTCATCCATGCACATGGATAATGGTTATAAATCTGTCGCTTAAAATCGTGTTTGAAATGTCTAAATTTGACTTCAGCTAAATGGCCATTGGCGTTACAGCAGTAATTTGTGATTTAAGTCCAATGAACGAGTTCCCGCTGGGCTTCCTAGTAACCGAGCACTCAGCCCATGTCATATTCACACAGAGGGAGTTGGAAAGGATCAATAATTCAAGAAAAATCGACCTCTGAAATTTGTCAAATTTGCGAAACAATACCCGCCTTTCCCCAACCATATGTCAAACCACCGGTGACAATTATGGCTAAAATTTGCACCGGGTCTCCGCGTGGGGAGATCGATAAGTTGCGGACATAATTGTGTATTTAATGTTCACTGAGCACGTCCCATATCCTTGAATTTTAATACAGAATAAATTTTATTTTGAAAAATATTTGATATTTTTGGACCTGGGGCCCGGTTAAAGTGTCGGTTCCATCTGACCTCTATGTCCTCTGATTCAAGGTGCATTCAGTCTGACCGGTCTGTGAATAAACCGAAGATTTAATTGTGATTTAATTAAATCTACATTAGAAGTCAAGGTGAGCAGTTATTTTTTTTTTTGGTAATATTCTACATTTTGCTCATTTTCAAAAGACAGCTTAATGCCCACCTTTCAAACAAACATACCTAAGTTTTGTTTGTTCGTTATTTAACGCCTCACTCCACCTATTCCACTATGCCTAAGTAGTAATTGAGGAATAACATCAGCTGTCCTCTCGCATCATCAGCATCATCAGCATCATAGAACTCCGCAACAAGGAAATCTGGCACAGCTGAGGGACGCAACTATGCACAGTGAATTAGGGTGCCTCTGACAAGTCCGCACCAAATACCTCAAATGACATTGTCAGTTATAATGTATAGCCTTCTCTTGTCCCAACAATTAAATACAGAAAGAACCTTCACAAACAATTTTATTGTTGAAATATTTCTACACAGTATATTATATAAATAGTAGGTGAGAGGACAATGACTTGTGAAGCGCACTTGTATACAAGTATGTGGCACGTTCGTCAATAAACTTCACAAGTCTGTAAGGGGTAATTCTATATCTTGATACAACCATGGCAACTGTGGCGTAGTTACACACGAACGGAATGACGGAGACAAACATCGCCATGCAGACCACCTGATATTCAAGATTCGTTTGGGATTTACCCCGCACACTTATAGGTTACTTACGGCTCCAATTCAGTGACCATCATACCCAGAATCTATAGTTTAGCCCCCACCCTACCACCTCCCTCACCACACCCACCCATCTCAAACCAACCACTCATCCATTTCACGTCACCCATCCATCTCATCCATCTTGACACAACCACCCATCCAAACACCCTCCTCTCATCTCACCCACCTCACCACACCCACTCATCTCACATCACCCTCTCATCTCACCCACCTCACCACACCCATGCATGTCACATCACCCCCTCATCTCACCCACCTCACCACACCCACCAATCCCACCTCACACTCTCATCTCACCCACCTCACCACACCCACCTCACTCTCTCATCTCACCAACCTCACCACCCCCACCCATCCAACACCCCCCTCTCATCTCACCCACCTCACCACACCCACCCATCTCACACCACCCTCTCATACAACACCCCTCCATTTCACATCAACCATCCATCTCACCCACCTCACCACACCCACCAATCCCACATCGTCCCCTCATCTCATCCACCTCACCACATCCATCCAACACCCCCTCTCATCTCACCAACCTCACCACACCCACCAATCCCACATCGTCCTCTCATCTCACCCACCTCACCACACCCATCCAACACCCCCTCTCATCTCACCCACCTCACCACATCCACTCATCTCACATCACCCTCTCATCTCACCCACCTTACCACACCCACCAATCCCACATCGTCCTCTCATCTCACCCACTTCACCACACCCATGCATCTCACATCACCCTCTCATCTCACCCACCTCACCACACCCATCCAACACCCCCTCTCATCTCACCCACCTCACCACATCCATCCAACACCCTCTCTCATCTCACCCACCTCACCACACCCACCAATCCCACATCATCCTCTCATCTCACCCACCTCACCACACCCATCCAACACCCCCTCTCATCTCACCCACCTCACCACATCCATCCAACACCCCCTCTCATCTCACCCACCTCACCACACCCACCAATCACACATCGTCCTCTCATCTCACCCACCTCACCACACCAATCCAACACCCCCTTTCATCTCACCCACCTCACCACATCCATCCAACACCCCCTCTCATCTCACCCACCTCACCACACCCACCAATCCCATATCGTCCTCTCATCTCACCCACCTCACCACACCCATCCAACACCCCCTCTCATCTCACCCACCTCACCACACCCATCAATCCCATATCGTCCTCTCATCTCACCACCCTCACCACACCCATCCAACACCCCCTCTCATCTCACTCACCTCACCACACCCACCAATCCCACATCGTCCTCTCATCTCACCCACCTCACCACACCCATCCAACACCCCCCTCTCATCTCACCCACCTGACCACACTCATCAATGTCACATCACCCTCTCATCTCACCCACCTCACCCCCCCACCTATCTCACATCACCCTCTCATCTCATCCACCTCACCTCTCCACCCATCCAACATCCCCCTCTCATCTCACCCACCTCACCTCACCCACCCATCCCACATCACCCTCTCATCTCACCCACCTCACCACACCCACCCATCTCCCTCTCATCTCACCCACCTCACCTCACCCACCCATCCAACATCCCCTTCTCATCTCATCCACCTCACCTCACCCACCCATCCCACATCACCCTCTCATCTCACCCACCTCACCACACCCACCCATCACCCTCTCATCTCACCCACCTCACCTCTTCACCCATCCAACATCCCCCTCTCATCTCATCCACCTCACCTCACCCACCCATCCCACATCACCCTCTCATCTCACCCACCTCACCACACCCACCCATCTCCCTCTCATCTCACTCACCTCACCTCACCCACCCATCCAACATCCCCCTCTCATCTCATCCACCTCACCTCACCCACCCATCCCACATCACCCTCTCATCTCACCCACCTCACCACACCCACCCATCTCCCTCTCATCTCACCCACCTCACCTCTCCACCCATCCAACATCCCCCTCTCATCTCATCCACCTCACCTCACCCACCCATCCCACATCACCCTCTCATCTCACCCACCTCATCACACCCACCCATCTCCCTCTCATCTCACCCACCTCACCTCACCCACCCATCCTACATCACCCTCTCATCTCATCCACCTCACCTCACCACACCCACCCATCTCCCTCTCATCTCACCCACCTCACCACACCCACCCATCACCCTCTCATCTCACCCACCTCACCTCACCCACCCATCCTACATCACCCTCTCATCTCATCCACCTCACCACACCCACCCATCTTTCGCCGTTTATCTCCTCGCTCCCATCCCTTGTTTGTTGTTTAATGCCGCACTCAGTATTATTCCGGCCCAAAGTCAGCCATTCTTTGATATGGCACTTCAACCTATTCAGTAGGTGTTTCAACATCATCTCCTGTTTAGGATCAGAGTGAGTGAGTGAGTTGGATCAACGCCATTTTGAACTGTACTCTAATTTACAGCGTGTCAGCTTAATGTTGGAGTCAAGTCCGAATTGATGCAGGTCTAAGACGTTTACCACTTTGGCTAAAACTAAAGAGCCCGAGTAAAACTAAAGAGCCCGAGTAAAACTAAAGAGCCCGAGTAAAACTTAAGAGCCCGAGTAAAACTAAAGAGCCCGAGTAAAACTAAAGAGCCCGAGTAAAACTAAAGAGCCCGAGTACGTGCTGACAAAGCTAAAAATATATGAATGGCGAACCAGGGTTCGAACCCACATAGGTCCCTGGTGGGCATAAGGAACACAGTTCTACATGACGCCTCAGACGATTGGGAACAACGGAACCACAAAATCTTTGAAATCGTCCGACTAACGAACCAGTAATGTGAAGTAAAACATGTAATAACAGACGAAAGACACGATTTATGAATACATTTTCCACAATATTAAGTCCACAGTTTTTACACCCTTTGTCGTGTAGTTTTTTTATGTTCTAATTTTAATGATGTCCAAAAAGTAGTTTTTATTACATCCAGTCCAGAAATGATTTAAACAGTTGACCAAAAGTACCATAATGTTTTAAATTATCGATCTGATGTTTTAAATCATGGGATTTCATTGGATTTCACTGTTTGTTAATTTTGTATTGGCATTGAACGGTGAATGAACATTTATTTTACGCGTAACTCCGTACGGAGTGATTCGATACGGTACACATGTACATACTTTTATACTTAATTTATTTAACTTTGTATATGTTATATGTTATATGTTATATTTTGTGTAACGAGGTGAGTCTTATACGTCTGTCTGTCCCTCCGTTTGAATAATACGTTCAAATGTTCTCAGGAATAGGCGTCCAGAAGACGGTGTTTCTGGATTAACAGTATCCGGAATAACGAAGTTTGATTCTAATTAATCTGTTAGATTGTAGATTAACCTTGTAGATTTTCTACTTTATATCGTTCAAATGATGTAATGTCATTGATTAATGAAATGACTTCCGCCGAGGAATATTTAATAATATTTTTACCGAAATCCTTCCCAGTTGTTTCAGAATCTCAAAAGACAAACACCGGAAGCCCGTGACGACGTCTGTTGTTGACAAAGACGATAGCTGCAACGTGAGCGACATCCTCTCGATTATCACACCATCGTCATGTTCATGTATCATTAATATCTTGTGAAATCTGAACATGATTGAATGTCCAATTGGCTCGACCCCGGGGCGCGGAGCGTGGGAAGATACAGCGCGACGGGGTATGCAGATGGGCTGGCACGGCGTTTCTTCAGTGCCATCAAAGACGTGTTTGTTCTATACCGTAAAGACACTGGTGTCATTACTCAAGCGTGTTTCACTATAACACGTGTTATGCCTTACACGGCTAAACGATATCAAGAAACTTAATAAATTTATTAAAACTTTTTATTATTAAAGGAATCACCAATGGTGGCACATGAGTTACATTTTATACATAAATGTTTCCAAATCACAATATGGCATAGTAATGTTTCAGGAAACGTGACAATTTTTTCAGGACATGTATCTTATTATTCCCAACAAGTTTCTTATATTTTGACATGTTAGGCAATTCATAATAATACTCACTGAGAAGAACGTACATTCGCCTATGCCTTACATCTAACTAAATAATGGAACTCGTCGCCAATTTGATGCGAATTACACAATGTCCAAAATCTCCTTTCTTCGTGAGGATTGTTCAACCAGCGACCCTTTTCAATTGGTAATTTGTGATCGCTTGTTCTAAAATAAAGTAAAGGTTTGGACATGTTGTCTGGGAGTAAAACATTCTTTTCAAAACATGGTGAATCTTTAATAAATGAATAGTAGAAACCTTTAAAAGAACGCGAATATCATTTCTATTCCGATTATTCTCAACAAGCAGCTAGCTGTTTGGGCTGCGTGCAGAAGCAAGGGCCTTGATCCTCGGTCCCCCACGGGGTTTCATTTTAATATCTTTTTACGCATAGTAGCTGAAGCGGTTTTTTTGTTATATAATATCAATATGATATTTTATTATTGATATTATTATCGGTGTTTTCATTGTTGATCGGTGGTCTAGTATATAGAGCGTCTGTCCGGAGAGCGGAAGGTCGGTGGTTCGATCATCGGCTGTGTCTAACAAAAAGACATAATAAGATGGTGCTTGTTGTTACCCTGCCTGGTCTTGTTACTAGTCCGGACTAGTACTGGCAGCAACACATGAGCATGCACTACATAAGAGCAATGATCTTGAGAGCGACGTGAAACCCTGTTTCACCTCGCCTCGCATTAATGTTGTCTTAAATCCGGGTTAGAATAGGTCTCCAGCAACCCATGCTTGTCGTAAGAGGCGACTAACGGGATCGTGTGGTCAGGCTCGCACGCATCCTATCCCAATTGCGTCGATCGATGTTCATGATATCCATCGCTTTATTGTCCGGTCCAGACTCGATCATTTACAGACCGCCGTCATAGAGCTGGACTACTGCTTAGATAGCGACAGGAATACCCCACTCAGACACAATATACTGACTCCGAGCCGAGCAGTCCTTGTTTTAGCCGCCTACTGTCGAGCGCCAGACAGGGTAACAACAAGTACCATCTTTAACGACTTTCGGTATGAGGCGACCGGGGATCGAACCCCCGACCTTCCGCTCTCCGGGCTGACGCTCTACCACTAGACCAACTTGATGTCACACACACACACACACACACACACACACACACACACACACTAGCTTGGAGCAGAGCTCTAGTTAAATTTTTGCTTGGGTTTCTATTCAATATTTAAAAAAATGAAATAATGTTTCAGATGTATATAACTGTTCTAAATATCTAAATATATAGGCTTGACTCAGAAAGTAAATTAGCTCATAATTGTGTTTCGGAAATTAGCTCCGTTGTATGCTTGCTGAAAAAGCTTCATTTGGGTATTTATGCGTGCTGTTTTTATATATTTGTGTTTTTTCTTTAATGCATGCGTTTTTGTACGCAAGATAATTGAACGTAATTGGGTTTTGAATATTTTTGGGGAGTATTTTACGCAAATACGCAGCTTATCTGTAGCTCTGATGGAGAAACCCCTTCCAACCGAAATGAAATAAACGATGGTACCATGTGCATCAGAAACTCTGAGAGAGGCGAATAAAGGAATCTGAAAATGACAACAGAAATACAAAGAACCATATTGGCCCAAAGTACAAATTAAATAATTGTTTTAAAATGGTTCCATTTATTATTATCGATGAACGCGCATCGCGCCCTCTTTCCTGAGATTAAACTCTACAGGCACACAGTCTGTCTGCAACAAAGCGTCAATAATTCTATTGTGTTGTCAGAGTTCATTTTAAATTTTTAAGCGAATTAATTGACTCTTTTCTTCGGCGCGCGATGCGCAGAGCGAACAGATGGCGTTAACAGAAATGAAGGTCAAGGTTACAGTATTCATCAATGCGAGATGTACCCCTACCGTGTTCTGAACCCTATGAATGCAATTAAGGTGTACGGGTCTCAAAGGATCAAGGTGTGTCTAATGGTTTTACTGATGCAGATGCATTTATGCTGTTATTGGCAAGGTTCCAATGCGTTGACATGTACACCTGTCACCTTAGCAAACGGACAAGGCCCGTGTGTTATAATATACAACACGTGTGTTGAGTAATTTTCTCTGATTTGTTGAGAGTGTGTTGTTTTTATCTACATTGTAAAAGAAGCATCTGCAGCTGAGAAAAAGGTCGATATTTAAAAACAAACAAACAAACGTGGTCTAGGCATATTTTTGTTTATTAATATGCTTTTGGAAGTTCAGCATCAAGTAATATTTACACAGTGTATTTTTTCCTTTTTGTCTGTTTAACTTATTTTACTCTATATTGATTTGATTTGATTTGTTTTGTTTTGTTTGTTTGT